TTTGTATTTGTTCACCTTTTTCAAATACTTAATACCTTTAACAAAACGGGTAAAACATCCGCTAAGATACATCATATCCCGAGTACCGATAGGGTTTTCATTTACGCTTTCTACAAAAACAATAAATTCGTAGCCAGCCGCACTATCTTCGGGATACCTACGGCAGTAATCCGTAACTCTATAAGGCGAGTACTTGTCCTCATTTTCTTCTAATCTGTCGGAATATTCAGAGTCACTTGACTCAGACTCTACAATAGTGTTCGTCTGACTTAAAGAATCAGATAAAGCTTTTTTCCGTTTTTTGGCCATTTTTCACCATCAGAAAAGAAAAATAAAAACTTACCAATATACTCCTATACAATTGAACTATATAAACAAATACTACCTTAGACTAACAGAATATATACAAAAAACAGAGATATGTGCAATATTAACAAGAAAAATTTACAAAAAAGTTCACGAAAATCAAAAAGACCGCCACCAATTTATAAGCTTCCCGCGCTTTCTCTGTGACATAGAGTATATTATATAGTGTGGATGATGTGAGTGAGTGATGCAACATCATAGAATTAGGGATGTTTTGAGATCGATATCATAGTATCGAATCTTCGAACGAAAAGGCCTAATTTTTATCCGACTTCAAAAAATCATAATAAAGAGAAAGTGCTAAAACAAAAGAAATAATAACACAAATAAAAAAAAAATTAGGTCCCGAAGTCATACGAGTACTTCTATAACGGTAACTCATATTCTATTTGTACTTTTTCGTAATTGAATTGACATCTAAGTTTCGAACTTTGCAAATTTCAGTTTTGTAATATTTTAGTTAAAAGGAACGGAAATAACTATGTTTGGTCCATTAGTTTCCTACAAAGTTCAACTTTTGCTAGAATTGCCATCTAGTGAGGTGCTTTTTTGGTACTTTCTTTTTTTTTTTTGTTAAAATACTTCCCCATTTATGACGTTCGACCAAAGAGAATAGAATTGTCAATATTAGTATGGATTTGATTACTCGGATATATATAGAGTTGAAATTCAATAAACTCGAGTTAAACGCACGCAACTCGATTAAGTACGATGAACGAAGCTTGAATAAATTTCATATTTTTGTACAAAGGAAAAAGCAAACTAATTTAATTGTAAGTGACCATAAAGAAAATTTTTGAAAAGCTATGATAAACTAGAGAATATTGTTACGAAATCATAAAAAGTAGCATTTCGATAATAATTAAACACTGAGTTTCAATATTACCATGACATATTTTCGTTTAACAAAAGTTCTGAAAACAATAACAACTAGGTAAGTTAGTTTTATCGCTCTTAGTTGTTAGTATTGTTTATTGCATACTAAGTACTAGAGTACTCGTAAAAATTAACCCCAACCGGTTAGAATGACGTTTATGCAAAGTACAACGTGCAAATAAGTTGTTGAATATCGAACTTAAAAATATACATCATTTTGAAAATAACCTAAGATTTGATAGCAAGTCTTATTTTTATAATAAATTTCGTCTTAATAAAAACTTAACAATCAACAAAAAATATCCATTCTAAACGAATAGCAGAACACTTTAAATTTGAAAGTCACAAAGACACGTAATAGTTATTAAACTATCGATACTGAACTCTCAAGGCGATGGCAGGACGTCGTACAGGATAACGAGGGGAGTATAGAGTTATGGGGCTGGTGTTATGTAAATTCATACGGCGGGTATGTGCTATTTCGTTTTTTCAATAATATTGAAAATAATAGGTAAGCTTCCTACTCAACCTACTCTAGAATTCAGTTTTATTGTAATTTGTTTCTTTTTTGTATCAATATTGTTCAACGTCTGGATGCATAATGGAACATTGAAACAAGCACATAAAATAAATAAATGTATATAAGTCCTGAAAACTATTTATTCTTGGTGTTAGCTATCTGCTTAAACGAGGTGTGGATCGCAGTGGAGAGAAACCACAAAATACTATGCACTATATTTATTAACTCAAAATAAGCACAATACATAGGAGTTTTATATTACTTAGATGATGGATGCACTTGGATTTACAACGATTAAGATTGTAGTAGGAACTTGTTTTAATTTAAATGAGTACATTATAAAAATATGCCTTTTATATAAGCTACTGTTTTCTTCTTGTTTTTTTAACGGTGAGTTGTCGTTCTCTACTCTAGAGTATCTTAGGGATTAGCAACACTGCCAAGAAGTTTAAAGGTGGATCTCCCTATCACCACACCATACCACAGTAGAAATGCAAGTGTCATAAGAATATCGATATAATGATTTCGAGTAGCTCGGTGGCGTAGTGGATAAGCGCCGCAGCCCGCGATCGTAGTCGTTAAGCAACTTTCGCAAGGGTTGGTCACGGGATGGGTGACCGAAAATTGTTGTCTCGAGCTGCTCCGTGCTTCGGAAGGCACGTTAAGCCGTTGGTCCCGGCTGCTTTTGCAGTCGTTAATACCCTCCAATCCGCATTGGGCCAGCGTGGAGGGTCATGGCCCATCCTCCTTAACCATCCATAAGGAAGGCCTGAGCCCCTGCAGTGGGGACGTAAAAGGGCTGGTGATGAGGATGATGATTTCGATATATATCGGTTAAAGTCGATACCGACATATCGTTTCATTAAGCAGATATTTGATCAATTTTGTTTTGTATATTAGAAAATATTCTTAATGAAAAATGCTTAAAAAATCCACCTCAGTGGGTAGATTAGCGTACGGATGCGAAAATTAGCGGGTTTATTTTTAAATATTTTTCATTGAGGATATTTAAAGAATCTTGTTTGTAAAAACCTTATTAAAATGAAAATCTTTAATCATAAATGTTCCTATTTAAAAAAAAAACGGCTTGCTACTGCCTGGCTACGAAGCCTGGGGCCCGATCGCGCTAAATATTTTCAACTGAACTGTAGCTGAACCGTAATCGAAACATTCTTAATTAAATAATGTTGGATTCTGCACGCGTAGCGTGACGAAATTGAGAGCGTTTTGTTTACATCCAGATGTCACCTTTCTCCGATATCTCCCTCTTGACTCGAGAAACGTGACGTTTGGGGTAGAGAAGACATACCTTTAACTTGACATTCTTAGCGGGCTGTGTTAAAAAAAATGCGTTCAGAAGGAATACTTCTGGGAACAATAATAAAATGTTTAATTGCCACTTCAAATAAATTGCGCTTAGATTTAGAATAACACTTTATTTTGAAATGAAGTACAAATTGTAATAATAAAAACTATGGCAAATATCAAAAAATCATTGTTACAAAATAATGTCACACGTGTTACTAATTCATATCATATGTGAAAATGCCGTTGGATGTTAGAACTTTGGACTACTGATATACACTTACTGTTAAGATTTCATTTCGTTTGATCAGCTTTCGATATGTTGATTTTTTCGACATCTATCGATATCGCTATTTATATCGTTGCATCCCTATACTACAGTATAGATATGAAAAACTGTTGAATTTTATTCTCCCGTTATTTTTGACATCAGACAAATGATTTTAAAATGTAGGTATTGAAAACGAATTTATTGTAGAATTTGCCTGGGTTCCAGCTCATCTTGGTATAAAGGGTAATATTATAGCTGATAGGCTTGCTAATGAGGCAGTATCATGTGGAGGCGTATTTCCTATTCAAAACAATTGTTCAGATTTATTAGAAATTCCAAAAGTAATATTACGCGAGAAATGGGCACAAATGTGGGAAATCAGTATGTAGGAATCGTAATGGTGAAGGTTGGTCCCTACAGGGTAATGAAGACAACTGGAAAGGGAGACTAAAGGATAATTGTCTCCCTCCGAGCTAGGTGTTGTTAGCATAGATTATATGTTGTTAGCCCGGGGACCGCGGTTCAGCCAATGTAGGTCTGACGTTCTATTTATGCTTATTGGTAATAAAACTTATTCTGTGCGATGTAGGTTTCTTTGTTCTCAATGCCTTGAATTTTTAATATTTGTGTTGGTACTGCGCCTTTAAAACCTTGGTTTTTCTTAATGAAGTGTGGCAAGCTAGAAACCTCTACGATTACACGTATGAGACTTGGTCATTCATCTGCCCCTTCTCATCTAGCTAAACTCTATATAATCAACGATCCTAGGTGTGACTGTGAATCAAATGAAGTGGGAGAGCCACGCTTCGGCATGAATGGGCCGGCTCGACCGGTGTGATACCACGGCCTCACAGAAAACCGACGTGAAGCAACGCTTGCGTTGTGTTTCGTCGTGTGAGTGAGAGTACCGGAGGCCCAACCCCTCCCTATTCCCTTCCCTCTACCCCTCAACCATCCCCTCACTATGATCATATTCGTCACTCAGAGGCCGGCAGCGCGCATGTAGCCCCTCTGGTGTTGCAGGTGTCCATTGGCGACGGTAATCACTTACCACCAGGTGATCCGTCTGCTCGTCTGCCCCCTATCCCATAAAAATATATATATATATATATATTATTGTTTTTTCCTGTCCTAAAGTCCAAAGATCCACCCTCGGGCAAGACCTAACATCCCTTCGTGTAGACCGACTCCGACTAAGATAGCTACACTATTACGTACTTATGATCAAGCAATATATATAAATGTATCATATCATATCTCATACTCAATAAAATTGTAAACAATGATAATATATATAGTATATTTAAGATTATAAATACCATACATTCCTGATCCCATCCTTCCTTGTCCGATTTCAATCATATACGTTTCCCTAATTTTTTTACTTGAGATGGCAAAATGCACAAGCGTGCCTGCCCACGTGCCTGCCTTATTAAAAAAAAAACTGTTAAACTACAGCAGAGGTTCCCAAACATTTTTTTCTCTAAAAAAAAAAAATTTGTTTCGGTGGATCCCCTGCTACTACATTTTTACCATATTTCCAAAATTATTAGATAAATAATAAATTTTCGTGGGCCCCACTTACCCCTATTTTTATTTCACGCCAACGTAGACCCCCGTTGAATCCCTCGCGGACCCCAAGGGGTCCACTTGGACCACTTAGGGAGTCACTGAAATACAGTGAAAAGTTAAAAAGCCGTTGAGGTTAGACAAGCGTTTATGTTCACTTCGTTTTAACAACTTTGCTAACAAATGTTATGAAGAGACTACAATTTTGCTTGTTATAGTTTTCATTTAAACTTTTTTTGGTCTAAGGTCTTAAATAGTAATCATGCAAATCTATGTAAAGTAAGTGTCCATTGATGAATTTAAATTGTTTATTTGTGTATTTATGTACTGTAATTGTAAATTTTTATGTATGATTTTTAGTTACTGGAAGTGTTTGTGGCGATGGACAACGTCTCAAAATTTGTCTTCAGAAGATCTGCAGGCAGTGTTGGGTAAAAAAGAAGTACAGGAAGCCTTATTTCAGGGTCTCCTGAGTTATAAACCAAATAGTCCTGGTACGTTTTCTCAGCTGGAGTCTAAATATCCAGACCAAGTAAAACTTTTGAATACAGTGCAGACATTACAAAATTATATAGTGAGTAAATTCTGTTGATTTATTTATGTTATATTTGATGAAATATAATTTAATATCTCTACCAAGATTTAAATACAATAACATAACTGCGATTGGATAATTTTCAGGATGTCGACTCATTTCAAATATGGGATTTAATAAAACATTATTTGTGTAGTATTTCTTATGGAAATATAACAAATGCCCTTAAAAACATTGCATTTCTTGATACAAGACCAACATTTATATTGCCAAATGTTTGGAAATTCTACTATTGTGAAAGGTTATTTTTACTAAGACTGCTGCAGTATATAATAGAAAATAAAAATAATGCTAATCACAAATACCACAAAGAGTTTAGTCATATTTACAATACAAGTGGAGCAAACCTTATGTCATCGCTTGTTGGACAATTTGAAAAAGTAACAACTTCTACTCCCCCTCCAAGAAAAATACATAATGATTTTGGTAATGAAACAATTCGTCAAGAGTGGGCTGAATACAATTTAAGAGAACAACTGGCTCTGTTACAATTAATTATACTTCTTATTGATGAGGAAAACATCCCTGTTGAACATTTCCAAACACTTTTCAAAGCTTTCAGAAGATGTAATTTTGGGAAGAATCAATCTTACCATGAACTACTAGAGGAGAGGCACAGGGACATGTGCATGAAGATCGTGTATTTGGAAACATGTTTGTTTATAGTTGTCTCTGATAAACAATATCTGTAAGTTACCTTACATACTCTTTGAAACTATTATAAATATTAAGTTTTTAGTTATTTTTATGTTTAAAATCAAATATTCATGGTTTGCATTATTTGTAGGCCTTAGTTTAAGGTTAATACACCTAGGTTCAATTTTGATCATGAATTTTTAAATATTTTAATAAAAACACTGTCACGGTATATATATTTCTAGTGGATGTGTTAGAATAAAAATCTTGAAAATTGGCACTATGAAGCTTAACCTAACCGGTCCCATCCCTTATAGTTTGCATGAAAGTAAACATCTGACGGCGGTTTGACATAAAAAAGTGTGTAATCGATAATTATAATAATCAGCAAAAGTTATTATATATATTTCTCATTATCAATTTATAACCATTAAAATTGAGATATAAAAGATGTTTCTAAAGTAAAAAAATCAATAATCATGCCTTTGAAAGTAGCATACTATATTTTGTGCCATTTTTTCTCCCAATCTACTCACAATTTTGTTTTTTTTTTAATGGAAATATTGTAACATTTACATTGCTCTTGTTTTTCTTGTTATATAGGTAGATTACTGAAAAAAGACATTTATATTTTTATTGATCGCTGACATGCAAACCTCTTAAGAGGCTTGTGGGGCTGGTGTGTCACGTGACCAAATCTTCTTAAGAGGCTTGTGGGACCGGTTAGGTTAATAAGTCATGGATGGTTAACTAAATCGAGAAACAGTATTCCTACACACCTAATATTTTTGAAATAACTCACCACCCTAATCAAGAAAACATTGATGCTACTATTAACCTCAGACAAGAAAGTTGTAATGACTGTGTATAATGTGCAGATAATTTCTATATATTTTAATTTTCTTAAAATAGTATCATAAACTTTAGTTATATGAAAATGAATCAAAAATCCTTATCTGACACAAGCAACATTTCAGAACAAATCCTTCATCGTGGATTGAAGTTACAGAAAAGTTTGTAGAGCCAGAATTAACTAAACTTCAACTTGGAGCAGAACATACTCCAATGCTCTTGTCATGGATGGTACTTTCTCTGGAGGTTATTATTTTGTTTATTTCATGAGTTGTTTTATTTATTAATTTACTACATATGTATTTAAGGTACATTTTATTGGGTCATTTAATGCTATAGGAATTTTAAGGCTAAGATATTAATAAGTAAATTAGCAGAATTCAAAAAGAAATGTCATTTCAATTAATTTGCTTTACAACTGTACACATATGTGCTGTCGATAGTCATTAATTGACTTGAAAGATAAATTTGCTATGCTAGTTTTGTGTAATTTCCAGGCCTCTCATAATCTCACCTCACTGTGATGTGTAATATAACTTTAGACTTTAGCAAATGCTTGATACAGCTGCCTTACTTGAAGAAATATGAGACTATTTTGTATCATTTATAATAATTCAAAATTTTATATTGTTTTATGTTTAGAGTAAAGATCATGCAGTATTGTTTGAAAGTAAGTATCAACACTACGGCTCAACTGCTCTCCGGATGCATGTTTTTGAATTTTTACATGAAATGGTGAAATCACCTGTGTTGTCAGTAAGTATACATATTATATAGAATTATTTAATTTCAATAATTGTATTTTTGTAAATGGTATAATTTTTTGCTCGTAGGATCAGTCAAAATGTTCCAAGATAATTAGAGAAACAATTTTTAAGCTTCTGAATGCAGTATGTGATAGATTTGATGGCGATGGTACTGTGAGCCGTCAGCCCGGCATCTATCCACTTTGCGCAGAACTGATTTCATCACAAGACTTGGCTGACGAGTTTTGGAATCTGCACCAAAAAAATGAACATTATGGAATTGTTTCCTTATGGAATACAGCATTGGAGTACTTTCCTTATAACTTTAATATGCTATCAGTTCTCGCAGCTGGCTTGTCTCAGGCTGGTAAAAGTAGCGTAAGGAATGTGAGTGTAATCAGGTACCTATACTTTAATGAGATGATTGAAATAAAAATACTGACATAAATTTGTTTTTTTTTTTAGCTGATCGGTGAACTGAAGAACTTACCTGTATATACAGAAATATACAATCCGAACAGCGTCCCTTTAATGTCCTCGGAATCGGACGTGGCAATAATTGGTCGCGAATATTCCCCCATCCCGTCATATACCGTGGAGGTCGGCTCCAGAGCCACGGTGATGGAGAGGAGAGAGGGCACAATGATACACTTCCACACGCCGTGCTCATACTGGACCGTGTTCAATCATGAAATAGAGAAAGCTTTGGATCGTAATCAACATCATCACTTGAATGACACACTACAAAGAGTATATGAAGGAACTGAACTGCTAACTGGTAATATTTGAGAACAAAATCAATATTTTATAATAAGAATTTATATTATAGGTATGCGGTAAAGGTTTATCGTCGTCGTTAATTCGTTTAACTTAGGTATATGTAAAACGAATAAAACACATTTTCTATTAAAGCACTTTAGATAGTATTCGTAGGTTACCAAGTGAGAAACAGATAAAGTAAAACAACATATACGGAAAAATACGATTCATTAAATACCAGCTCTCCTGTAGTACCTATATGCATAAGCCTTCATCTAGGTGCACTCTCTATATTGATGAAAACCGCATCAAGATCTTTCGCACGATTAGCATCGTCGCAAAGCTTCTATGTCGAATAGTAACGACTTCGTTTTTGTAATTAAATTATAAAGCTTATATAATACTAGCTTTGTCACTCTGAAGCTATGTCGTGTGGTATAGTTACTTTGGGCAGCATTTCTTAAAAGGCTAAAACAAATATCTATTCATCATACCGTGTAAAACACTTGATTATAAAGTTTCATGACTTTATCTTTGACAATGACAAACTTCCGTACAAAATTTAATTCCCTATGTCAACCCCTTTTATCAACTAAAACCTAATAAAAACAACTTATATACTACGTCCTCAAGTCACCTCTGTTTAGTGGGTTAAGCATGAGAGTGTAACATACATATACACAGACCTACTTTTGCATGTATAACATTGACGATAATCCTTGTTTCTCATTACATCATATAATAAGAGATTACCAAATCTATCGAATTAAATAGACTAAGAAAAATATAAATTACAATTGCTTAGCCGAATTTTAAACGAACAGCTGTTTTTTTTTTCGAGTTTCTATAAGTACATGTAATTATCTGACTAATGTTTAATATGTTTCTGTACTTCGTTTCTGAAAACTTTAAAGCTATTTATCCAATTTGAAATACAGATAGAGGAAAAAAACACAATTCTAAAGTTTACACAAGTCTTCATCAAAAATGAAATCTACGTCAAATTCTGTGAACACAAAGACATCTAGTATAGCAAAGCTAAAAGTTCTTACTATGTAGCATTATTTAAAACTCAACCTCGACCGAAATAGTATGTATACAAAAATAATGTACTTGAATGTTTTCAAGAATTTTAATTTTAAATTATTTAATACGTATTTTCATCACAATATAAGGAAATTTTTAAAAAGAATAATAGATATAGTTATTACAATGACTAATCAATGGTCGCTATGGTAACATTTTCATTCCCTATAAAAACTTCCACTCTCATTTTCATCCCTTTAAGTTCTCGATCGAACATAACCTACTACTTTCCCGGGGTCTTAAACTGCTCAAATACCAATTTTAATCTAGGTCCAAAAACAAAGAAGTTACAGCGTTTTCACCCTCATTAACCTATTTTTATCTTAACCTTATTATCCTTTCGGGGTGTAATTTCCAATAATTCGTTTTCAGTATACGTCTACGGAATAAGACTAATGTACCCTCTAAATTTCAAGTCTCTACGACCGGCGGTTTAGACTCCGTCGGGCAGTATATCAGGGTAATCAATAGTTATCGTGTTCTATGATGACGTTTCATCCTGCTGCCGGTATAATCTAATATCCTAAATACCACACGACGCGCACGGTATCTGCGCAACGGCCTGGTCGATTTTCTACCAGAGTCGATAAAATCAAAACCGCAAATCGAAACGAGGTCCGAAATCGCGTCAGAAGAAAACCGATAAACAAATATCCTTTTCCCGAAAGTGAGAAACGAAGAAATTCTATCGAGCGCTCTTCATGTCGTCCTCGTACCCTGTATCGGGCAGGCGCGGTGCGCGCGCTGGGGCAGGACGGACGGATTCCGGCGGAGCTGATGCGCAGCTGCGAGGGCGCGTTCGAGGCGCTGGTGCGGTTCGCGCGCGCCGACGCCGCGCTGCCGCTGCTGGCGGCCGGCCTGCGCCTGTGCGCCGCGCTGCTGCCCGCCGCGCCCGCCGCGCCCGACGCGATACACCTCAGGTATGGGCACGCCCCGCGCCCGGTGCCTGCTAGCTGGCGTTCCATAGACGATAGCGACGATACAGCGGCGTCCGTTGCAGGCTGGTGAACGCGGGCGTACTGCCGCGGGTGGCGGGCGGCGCGCACACCGCGGCGGAGTGCGCGGGGGGCGCGGGGGGCGGGGCGCTGGACGCGGGCGCGGTGGGCGCGCACCTCGCCGGGGGCGCGCTGCACTCGCCCCGCCCCGCGCACCTCTACGACCTCCTCGACGCGTACGTGCATCTGCTCTGCGCCTTCCACGAGGTGATACTCTCTGTCCGCTTCCGACCGAACCTTTCGAAAATGTTTCGAAATTTACATATCATAGGTTAAACTAGTAAAATTGACATCTAGCTAAATTAGATAGAACTACTGTAACGTAATATAGTTAGCTTAATATTTTAACCGACCGCTCCAGCGCTACACCGCTACGCGATGCAGCCGTAAACTGCACTCGTCACTGCTTATTCGCCATACAAACATGACGGGTCAAAACTCGTGTTGTACGCAGAAATCTGTATATGAAATTCATTTGAGAGGCACTGCTTATTAAATTAAGAAGTCATCAAAAGAGTGGCGTTTACGCAAAGGGACTATTTAATTTGGCCGGTGTATCACTTCAACATTTTTTTTCGCCATTTTGTTTTGATTACTTATCTGAGCGCAAGTGATTAAGTTGTAAAATCATTAATCTACTTACATAGTGATTTATTTACCGTGAATTATAGAAAATTGTAACTTTGAGCTGCTTTTTCGGTTCTATGCTGGTGATAAATTAAATACGAATGCAATTTCACTGCTGTTTGAAGTAAAAATTAAAATATTTGCGAAGAAGGTGTGTGCCCGGGTTAGATTTAAGAGCCCTAATACAAATTTGCACTCTGTGGGATTAGGGGCCACCCATAAATTACGTCGCATGTTAGGGGGGAACACTGTCTCGCATAAATTCTTTGTAAAGTGAGGAAGATCATTAATGTAAATTAGAAAAAGCAATGGTCCTAATATCGATTCCTGAGGTACGCCCATAGTAATGGGTGCCCCTGCAGATTTCGCTTCATTAATTACTACTTTTTGGAATCTTAGCAGAAAGATATGATTTTATTAGATTAAGTGAATTTTTCGTCACACCATAATGCTCTAATTTCCCCAACAGTGTTTCCATGACTAACGCAGTCGAATACTTTTGACAGATCGCAAAAAATGCCGATAGTATCTTGTTTATTCTCCCAAGCATCATATATATTATATATGTCTCAGAAGTGCAATTCCAGCGTCTGTGGTACATTTACCTCTGCTAAAACCAAACTGATTTTTGTGAAGTAATTTATTTAACGAAAAGTGTGCAAGCAGTTGATTATAAATAATTTTCTCAAATACTTTACTTAGCGCTGGTAGTATAGATCTTGGTCTGAAATTACTGACAATCAGACTTGTCGCCTGCCTTGAAAAGTGGGATTATTTTACCATATTTCATTAAATCAGGAAAAGTTCCTTCATCAATGTATTTATTAAAAATAAAAGTTTATTGAGGCGCTATAGATGGTATTATAGATTTAATGGATTTGAATGTTTTAATAATTAATCGGTTTATAATGCATAGAACTGCTCGGAGCGCGTGGCGCGGGACATCCTGCTGCCGGGCGTGGTGATGGTGGCGCGCGAGGGGGTGGGGGTGGGGGTGGGCGCGGGGGTGGGGATGGGGGCGGTCGCGGCGCGGCGGCGTCTGGCGGGCGGCGCGGCGGCGCTGCTGGCGCGCGTGCTGCAGCCCGGCACGCGGCCCGCGCTGCTGCTGCACACCGCGCTGCACGTGCTGCACTACACCGACTGCGCGCGGGACGTGCTCGCCGTCATCTCCATCGGTGAGGGACCGTCGTCTAACGCACCTCCGTCCGTATTCCAAAAATTGAAAATTCACTCGTTTATTTGTCGCAGGTAACGAACGCTTGGAAAGCATGATGCTCGACGAGAGCAACTGGGTATCCGGACCGAGTACGGAGTGGGGCGTGGCGCTGCAGCGCTACCTGGCGGCGGTGCTGTTCGCGCTGCGGCATAAGACGGCGGTGGCGGCCGCCGCGGACGTGACGCCGCTCGAGCGCCTCGTGCTCGCGCAGAACAAGCGGAAGGACCCGCTCAAAGTGGTGCCCAGGATCACCGGCTACATCGACCACGTGTTCAATAAGAGCCTTCCGGTTTTGACCTGTCGACTGTTGAAAAGATTAGCCGAAGTGAGTCTCGCACCCGAGAGCGATTTCGTACGCCTCCTCCCCGTGCATGACGAATATGTTTTCATATTTAGTTTGTTTCTAGATAAAATAAAGAAAATGTAACGGTCGATGTCTGTATTTTTGAATATTTTCTGACAGAATAACGATAGACCAAAATCTATTTTAGAGTTTTCAGATGTCACTCTTCGCATCGCTCGACATGACCGCCTACCAGGTTCGGGTGATGTTCCTGGACCGCCTGCGCGACGAGCACGAGAGCGTCGAACTGAAAGTGGCCATTCTCGAGTTCGTGGCGACCTGCGTCGGCAAGCAGCCGGGCCTCACCGAGGCCTTCTTCATGATGAACCACGAGAGGGCGAAGGAGGCGGAGAGGGAGGGGAGCGCCGCCCCCGCCCCCGACGAGGGCTCCGAGGGCATCCTCGGCTACATGGCCGACTACCTCGCCACCGTCAAGTCGGTACGTTCTCTCCCTAGATCGCTCCGACCGATCGTCCCGCGACCGACCGTTCGCTACAGGGGATCCCCGTCTTTCAGGACGCCGAGCTCCTCCCCAGTCCGCTTCTCGGGTGCACCATGGCTCTCTTTCACGCGCTGTGGAAGAACAACATGCAGATCCTCGTGAAAAAACTGAGAGAGAATCCGAAGTTCTGGGAGTACATAACGAGCCCGCTGTTCGCCCCGATCCGCCCGGGCCTGCGGATCTACTCGCAGATATTCAACGTGCTCGGGATCGAGCTGTTCGCGGCCCGGGGCCGGCCGGAGCCGGCTCTCGGGGCCGTCCTCGAGCGGTTCTTCGACCCCCACCGGCGGCACCTCGACGACTGGGTCGAGTTCGCGTTCTCGTTCCGCGGCCGCGGCGCCGCCGAAGAGGCCGTCGACGAGGCGCCCGCGTGGCTCGGCCTGCTCGCCTCCTGGAAGGACTTCGCGACGATCGTCCGCCGGAGCCCCCCCGTCGAGCTGAACATCGCGCACAAGTCGAAGATCGCCGCGCCGTGCCTGACCGCGCTGGGGGCCGAGCTCGAGGGGCCCGCCGACGCCCGGCCGGTGGCGCTGCTCGCCGAGCTGTACGTGGCGCTGCTGGCCGCCTGGCGGGACGACTGCTTCGAGGACCGGCGGCGGACCGCGCGCCAGCTCGGCCGCCTGCTGACCGCCGCGCACGCCGCCTACGAGGGCTTGCCCCCGCGCGCCGCCCGCGCCCTCCTCGCGCTCGCCGCCGCGGCCGTCGGCGCGCTCGACTACGAGATCCGCGCCGACGCCGCGCTCGCCCGCCGCGTCGTCGCCGCCGTCGCCGACATCAACGGGCTCGAGCTCGCGCGGGCGCTCGACGAGGGGGCGCCGGGGCCGCCGGAGCCGCCGGGCGCGGAGCCGTCGACGGCCGTGCTCGCGCTCGCGCTGCTCGAGCGGGCGCTCGACCTGCCCGAGGAGGGGGGCGCGCTCGGGCCGGAGACGGGCCGGCTGGTGGACGACCTGCTGCGCTGGCTGCGGCGGGCGCTGGGGCGGCGCGAGCGCGCGGGCCCCGCGCTGGCGGCGCTGCGGTGCCTGGCCGCGGGCGCGCGGGGCCCGCTGGCGGACGAGCTGCTGCACGCGGACGTGGAGGGGGCGCTGTGGCTGCGGCTGGCGCGGCCGGCGGGCGCGGGCTGGGCGGCGGGCGAGTGGGCGCGCGTGCTGGGGGCGGGGCTGGAGGTGGCGGGCGCGCTGGTGGCGGCGGGCGGGGCGCGGTTCGCGGGGGCGGCGGTGGCGCTGGTGGCCATGCAGGCGGACCAGCTGGCGGACGCGCTGGCGGCGCCCGACGCGGCCGCGGAGGCGCTGGCGCTGCGGGCCTCCGCGCTCGCGCTCGTGCTCCGGCTGCTGCGGTTCGAGGCGCTCTGGCGGATGCAGAACGTCAACTCGCTGATCGTCATCATGGTGAGTCTCTCCTTCGAACGAATTCCTGCATGAAAAGTGGAGTTTTTGTCTTTTCCTCGATGTGCTGCCAGACGAAAACGATAAAACTGCGCACGGAAATCATAAAACACATGTTAAATATCGATATTTGAATATATTTCATCGATTCAGAGATATTTAAAACTTAGAATTTCAAAAAAAAAAAATCCGATCAGGAAATCGTCATGTTTAAAGAATACAGAAAAAGCTGAAGAGGTAGAGAGATTCGTGCGATGTAACTATAATTAGATTGACATTTTCGTGTATACGACTACGACTCGTTCGAAATACGTGTTTTAATTTTCTATCAGAATATTTTTACTAAGTTAATCCATACAAATTGCTTCACGTTCACTTTCATTGGGGATTTCAATCGTATTTCCAAATATAAATTTAATGTGGTAATATCTCACACTTATTTAACACAATATACACTCATGATAACTTTATACATTTTTCTAAGATACCCACTATTTTTCGTATTTACCATTGAAAATATATATATGGAGTATTTTGTGGCGTGGCGTTCCGACGTATTCGACGCGTTTGTTCTTAAAATATCACAATGACCCAACTAAATACACTTAAAATATATTATCAGAACGTGAGGGGATTACGCACTAAAAGCCATGATTTTTTAACTAATGTGTTGCTTAGTAATTACGATTTGATTGTTCTGACCGAGACCTGGTTAACACCCGATTTTGGTGATGCTGAGTATTTCTACACGAATTACGATGTTTATCGACGTGACCGGGTCGGTGCGGACGGCATACGCGGTGGAGGTGTTTTAATTGCAGTTCGCCCCGGACTGCGCGTGCGCCGTCGCGGTGACTGGAGCTCCACTGATTATTCAGAGGAGATATGGCTCACCTTAGAACTGGATTCCGCGTTGCACCGCTCGCACGCTTCCTCCCCCCCGGCCTATGTACACATTGTCTGCGCATACTTTCCACACAGTGTGAATCATTTCAATAATCTGCAATTATTTTTTGACGCTGTCTCTGATCGTATGTTACAGAATCCCGATGATTCTTTTTTGCTACTGGGTGACTTTAATATTACGTACGCTTCATGGACGACTACGGAGTGTGAATATCTCACAATGAGCGCAAATAATGACCCCAAAGCTATATTATTGTCTGATTTCATGTGTTTATCCGATTTGAAACAGTGTAATAATTGTTTTAATGTGAATAACCGTATACTCGATCTCGTCATGAGTGACTGTGTATGTCGGGTCTCGGCCAGTTCCTCACCCCTCACCCCTGAAGACTCTCATCATAAAGCGATAGAAATTTTATTTTCTCTCTCGCGTACTATTTTTCTGGAAGATAATAATCAATTTAAATATATTTTTCATGCCGCGAATTATAACGAGTTGAGTGAAAGATTGATGAGTGTTGATTGGCAGGCGCTGAGCTGTATGAATACTGAGAAGGCTGTTAACTATTTTTATTCAATATTATATAGTTTAATCGAGGCTCATGTTCCAAAACGTAAAGTTCTCAGTGGCAAGAAATACCCGGTTTGGTATTCGCAGGCCCTCATTAAGACTATTCGACAAAAACTAAAAACCCATGCTCGGTGGAAAATATACAACAATCCTCGTGATTTTCAACAATTTAAATTATTACGTTCCCGTGTAAAGACTTTACAAAACCAGTGTTATAACAAATACATCAGCTTCTCAGAGTCGAGAATTATAACTGCACCTAAATACTTTTGGAGCTTCATTAAGTCAAAGTTTTGTATTAATAATATCCCCTCTTATATAACCTTCGGTGACACAACTTCCACAGATGGTGAAACCATTTGTAATCTTTTTAATGACTATTTTCACTCCGTATTCGTTCCCACTAGTAGTCCAGTAGATTTATCTGCCTTAAACTATGACTCGGGTCATTTACAGTCTTGCGCTAATATTTCAGATATCAATATAACATCCGTTATTGTCGAAAAATATCTCGAGCGAGTTGATGTCAATAAAGGCGCTGGTGTGGACGAGGTTCACCCATTATTTATTTCGAAACTATCAAAAGAATTAACCGTTCCTGTCACAATAATTTATTTAAAATCTATAAAGGAAGGGTCTTTCCCTGACATGTGGAAAAAGGCCCTTATTACCCCCATTCCCAAAGGTGGTGATAAACATGACGTGCGGCAATATAGACCTGTTTCCAAGTTGTGCATACTGGGCAAAATCTTTGAAAAAATTATAACAGACGAACTAAGCCGTATCGTGTCTCGTCACATCTCGCAACAACAACACGGCTTTTTCGGAGGTCGTAGTGTTGACAGTAATCTGGTCTTGTATACTGACTATCTTCTCAACTCGCTTGATATAGGTTCCCAGGTGGATGCTGTGTATACCGACTTTTCAAAGGCTTTTGACAAAATTAATCATTTTACACTTATAAAAAGGCTTTCTGAGTTCGGTATACATGGTGACCTATTGCGTTGGTTGTGTTCTTATATTACCAATCGAAGTCAAGCTGTGGCATTGAAAGGTTACACTTCTAGATTCCTAGATATATCTTCTGGCATTCCTCAGGGCTCGCACTTGGGCCCTCTCTTATTCACAATATATGTAAATGACGTTAGTTCCTGCTTTCACAATTCGCGTCATCTATTTTATGCAGATGACACTAAAATTTACAGAGTTTATTTTTTTTTTATTTCTAGTTACGATGACTGCTTAAAGCTGCAAACAGATTTACAAAACTTTGAAATTTATTGTGAGAATAGCCAACTGCTTTTGAATTCAGAAAAGTGTTATACTATAACTTTTACTCGTAAACATAACCCAATAAAATATGATTATATCCTCTCAGGGCGTAAGATCGAGCGCGTGAATGTAATAAAAGACCTCGGGGTTGTACTGGATGCCAGGTTGCACTTTAATCTACACATAGACAACATTATCTCTAGAGCATATAAGCAACTTGGCATGATACTTCGATACACGAGGCCGTTTAAGAAGTATTTACCTATAAAATATTGTATTATTTCGTCGTTCGATCTCTTTTAGAATATGCATGCGTCGTTTGGAACCCCCAATATGCTATTCATATTGCCCGAATAGCAAAAATACAAAATAAATTTTTGAAATCTTTAGATTATCGAACAGGACATTTCTTTGTTGACTATGAATCTGCATCTAAAAGGTATAATATTGATTCGTTACAAAATAGACGTGTTTATCTGGATGCAGTTTTCCTTTACAAAATAATAAACAATTATGTGGACTCATCTTCATTATTAAAATTAATAAATTTTAGAATCCCTAGAGTCTCCTCACGTTCTAAAAACATTTTTCATCGTTCACCCACTGCCACAAATTACGCTGGGAACACTTTTATAAGACGCTCCTGTAAATTTTACAATGACAATTTAAATGACGTTGACATTTTTTCGCTATCATTAAATCAATATAAACGAAAAGTGGGAGATATTATATTTAAATATGACTAATCAGAGTGAGTTTTTGAGATTGTTGTGGAGAAGCCGTTTGTTTGATGTGTAGGTTAAGTTTAATCGATATTATTACCATTGTTAATAGTGAGCGATTAAATTAATTTTGTTAGTACTCGTATTTAGTAATGGAACTGTCAGGTCTATTAGTTACCTAAGTTTTGTTTGTATATCAATTGTAAACGACTGTTTGTTTCCTAAATAAATAAAATAAATAAATAAATAAAATGTGTGCGTACAGCGCAGCGTGAGCGTGTGCCTGTGCCACAGCGTGGGCCTGTGCATGCGCGCGCGCCGCGACCCGTCCCCCGCGGCCGCCCCCTCGGGCGCGTCGCCCCCGCCGCCGCTGCAGTGCGGCGTGCGGCTGCTGCGGCTGGCGGCGGCGACGCTGGCGCGGCTGAGCCCGCCGCTGCTGGCGCTGCTGGCGCCGGAGCGGGCGGAGGGCGCGCGCTTCCCGCCGCTGCTGGAGCTGCACTTCGGCGCGCCCAAGCTGGCGCCGGAGCCGCAGCCGCGCCTCTGCTGCGGGACGCTGCTCGCCGCCATCTGCCTGCTCACCAGGATCCTCGCCCACGTGAGCTCGCTTTTCTTTTTTATTCAACCCAAACTTGTGTATCGTGAAACATTTTCACATAAAGCGCGCCAGCGCTCGTTTGAGCTCCCGCTCTAAACGAATGAAATAAAAAAATAGATTTTTATCCCTTCCGATCTATAGTTTGTCGCTTGACCTTACATGGCAATATTTTTCCTGCGGCTTGAACGAATTTAATATTTGCGTTGTATTATTTTAGTGATTATATTCTATTGCGTTATATTCTTTTGCATCAAATTAATAAAATAAAAAAATACGAAAAAGGGGTGCCTCATGATTTTACTGATCTGCAGAAAGAAACGCCTGTTAAAAGTTGTGTTGCCTTGTTAAATTGGAAAAGGAATATCGGATCGAATTGTGACATGTGATGAACAGTGGATTCTTTATGATAACCGTAAAAGAAAAATGCAATGGTTGACTTACCAATAAAAAGGTAATGGCAAGCGTTCGGTGGTCTCAGCGTGGTGTTATTCACGATAGTTTTCTCCAGCAGCAATGTATATATAACAATGGTAATTATTCTGATTAAATAAATTTGTTAAAAATTAAAAATAAACAATTATGATTTTCAGTTCAAATTGGCAATTTCATATTTGAACCGCTATTATAACCATATGTGAAACGTCAAACATAATTAATATTAAATATAAATAAAACGATGTGTTCAATTTATTGGAACTGATTTCCGTATTTTATCGGTATCGATATTTTTACTACCTAGCAACCCTAAGGTATCCGGTGTGAATGCAAAATTGATCAAATATAATCGAGTCTGAAATAAATTTAGGTGAATTTAAATTTATTTAAAACTCAAGTCGCGTCAGTCCGTCTTTCTAAATATCATATTCGACGTTTCGTTTCGTTTATTAAATATGCGACGTTCGTTCCGTTTCCTGATACTCACGGCCGTCGGTCTCGTTTCGTTTCGAAACATCGAAGGCGAAGAAGGGGAACTTCGTCGGCGTTTCGGAGCTCGATGTCGTCGAAGACGCGGACTCGCGGAAGTCTCCTTCGCTTCGGTTCCCTTTTGCGGCCGCGAGGACGTCTTTTCGAACGATATTTTTATCTTCAGGCCCACCACGCCGAGGAGGCGGGCGGGTCGCGGTCGCCGCGCGGGCGCCGGCGCGCGTGCTCGTGCGGCAGCCCGGGCGCGGGGGCGGCGGGGGCGGGGGCCGGGGGGCGCGTCGACCGCAGCGAGTCCGTCACCAGCGCGTCCTCCGCCGCCTCCGCGGCGCCGGCCCCGGACGAGAGACTCGCGGCCGCCGCCCTCGAGGCCACCGCCACGCTGCTCGCCTCGCAGGCGCTGCTGGCGATCCGCGACCCGAGCGTGCCGGCGCGCCACAAGCAGCTCATCCGGCGCGAGCTGTCGTCCGAGCTGGCGGTGTTCCACGACTACGTGCGCAAGCGCGTGCTGTGCGCGGCGCACGCGCGCCCGCACCTCGCGCGCACCAAACTGGGCGCGTGGCCGCTGCCCGCCGACGAGCGCGAGCTGGAGCTGCTGCGCCGAGCGCGCGCTTCACGCCCCGCGTCCGCCCCCGCCCCCGCCCCCGCGCCCGCGCCCGCGCCCGCCAAGCGGCCGGCGCCGGACTCGATGCGCGAGTACATCCTGCGCAAGCACCACCTGGAGGCGGCGGCGGCGGCGCGCGCGCCCCCCTCCCCGCCGCCGCCCCCGCCCGTGTGCCACTCGACGCCGGCGCCGGCGGGGGAGCGCGGGGCGCGCGGGGAGCGGGCGGCGCGCGCCTGCAAGCGGGTCTCGTGGGCGGAGACCGCGCGCGACCCGGACGACGACCTCGACTCCTCGCTCGCGGAGATCGACGCGGTCTACTCGAACCTGACCGACGTTCGGTTGAACGAGGACGAGGACTACTTGCATTTCATGTCGGTCGTGTTCCTCTACGTTTGCCAGACCGAGTTGTAGAGGTCACGTCGACCGCGGGCCGTGTTCCCGGCCGTGTCCTCTGTCGCCGTCGCTCTCGATCGGGCGGGAGGTCCGCTCACCGTGCGTCGCCGAACGACCGGCCGGATCCCCCTTCGGACGACCGAAACGCCGATATCCGGCACGAAATCCTCCCGGTCGGTGAAAGACGTGTCGCGAGCGGGAGCGCTGAGACTCGAGTTATAATAAAAAATATATAAACCGACATCGTTAAATATATACGCGTTTTATTTTCTTAACCTCTTCTCTCGTCGCCTCGATTCGGATTATTTAAACGTGTAAATCCCGAATTTGGCGATAAATTAAAATTTAGCATGCATTATTAAAGATTGAAATGGCCGGCTGCATCATGAATTGGTCAATTCCACAGAACACAGAAAGACGTTAGAAGGGCCTTCTGGGCGTGGCAGTGTAGCCACGATCCTGGACAAATGTACAGGATCGTGACTTCACCACGCGATCGTGATGTTTAGTCATTCACGAACGCGCGCGCTGTAACTACTGTGAAACACGCTACTAAAAGTGTTAAAAATGCCGACTTGCGCAGTTATTAATTGCAAAACAATAAGCCCATCCTCAAGTAGGTCCAAAGGAAGGATTTCTTTCCATAAGTAAATAGAACACTTCTCAAATTTAGTATTTTTAGTCGAAATTCGTGAAATGTTATCAATAGTGTGAATCACAAAAAATATTTCCAAGAAAATATACATTGCTGGAGAAGTGCGCACATTTATTACATTGCGCCGTACTAAGCACGTAATGTAAAGAATATCGAGAAATCACCGTTTTAAATAGCAACATAATAGATTACGGTAGATGGATAGTGACTTGCCTAGAAACATTTAATGAATTCTTGGTGTGTTAGTTAGTAAAAACTAAATAAAAGTATGGATGATAAAAATAGTGGTAATAAAAAATAAATTTAATCAGAGATTAACCATATTGATTTCGTTTGGTATGCGTTTGTATACAGGGAGGAACAAAATGACCGACACAGCCGAAAGTTTCAAGTTAGGCTACATGCAAACGTTCATTTTATTTGACAAATATTTAAAAATAGACGAGGTGTAAAAATGGAGTAAACATTTTAAATTTCTAAGTGTTGACAGCCCTTTAACGCGCATGCGCAATATAAATTGTGCGCAGATTACAACGGACCGCGAAATACATTCATTTAATTTAATTATTTACCGATATCTTAATGATAGTCGATGCTGAAAATGTTCAATTCTTCTCTGAAGACAGCTAAGCACGCTCTTTTGCATGCCAGTGTATGCACGCGCAAAACACATCACATTTCACACAAAACTAAACACAATCTTCACTAAACTATACTTAACACTCGAGACGAACACTCTAGTATCTTATTAACAAAAATTCAATTAAAAATGCACTAGAACAAAACAAAAATCGACAAAAAAGACGCTTCGCAGCGGTGGGTTGGCGGCGATGCGCAACAACACTCCAGCACAAAAGGTCGGCGGCGACTGATCGGCCGGACAATACCAACAGAATAATGAAGCCGCTTGGCGGCTAGCTGGTGGGTGGGGCTTTGATATTGAGGGACGAACTCGGTTCATATTTTTTATTCGTCTTTTGAAATCACGCATTTTTTCATGTTCTTTTTAAATGCTATTTTAATTACAAATTCCTCAATGTTTTTAAAACAAAGAATACAATATTCAAATACTCGGTGATCATAGGCATCTATCCAACATAACAGATTCAATAAAGGTTCGGGGATGAGCCGCTAGATAACTTTAGCTTTCTTTTGTTGAATCAACAGTGGTCGCGCTCCTGCCACGTCAACTAATGTATTGTCAGACCTCCACATTAGTTTTTTGTGTTGTCTTAGTTTAGATCTAGGTGTGCGATATATATAATGTCAATGAGAACGGCCTCTCTTGCGTATACCGCCATGCATCGCCGCCCCGCCCGCAGCCCCCCGCCACAGTCTCCGGCGACGCGTGCGACAGTGGCGGCAGTGAGACTCATACGCACACGCGCAGTGCCCGCCGCTCGCGCCGATCATTGTGAGTTTTACGAGATGGTACGAGTTTATCTTCTAAGTGGTGAAAACCTAAGAGCAGTTCGGAGCAAGTATGCGACGGAGAACATACCTTGTATGTGAGCCTTTGGGATCCGTAACCCCGCGGTCCCTGATGCACGAACCATTTTAATAGACGAAGTCCCAGAGTCAGTACCCACGATGCGGCACGTCGCTTTGGTGTGAGCCAGCCCGCGGTATTGAAGCTGCTTAATACAGCCGGACTCCATCCGTCCCACTTTCAGTCGGTTTAGCAGCGTCATGACCAAGACCCAGTACCATGTCGAGCCTTATGCTTATGCGAGTAGCTTCTATATCACCGCGATGCAAACATCTTGTGGACGGATGAGGCATTGTTCACACGTGTGGGACAGTTTCTTTTGATGAGTACTCTTGTATTCCTGTCCTATATTCGTGTTCTGATTTAACAACAAACACAGTAATTGATAAACTGACTGATCTGTTTTCTGTCTTCGGAATGCCAACATATATTCACTTGGAATTACTTATATTCTCCGACTCACCTCATTCTTATCGAAAGAAATAAAAGACTTCTAACATCATAAGAGTATTGCAACGAGCTATACGACGCCGTACAATGGACAGATAGAGAGATATAATGGCATAACATGGAAGACTATCCAGTTGGCTCTAAAAACTCATAATTTACCTACAATGAAATGGGAGGTGGTTGTAGCGTTCTCACATCTGAGCCAAATAGCCAACCAATGCCTTCTTGGCTAACAGACTTTTCTAAACATCGAGTCTGACAATCCGTCAGAGGTCAGAAAGAAAAGAAGAAGGAGGTCAGAAAGAAATCTACGCTCGCCGGCATTTTTAGCTGACTATAGCGCAGGGGAATGTGGTGATATATACTCCGTTTTATTTAAAGTGACATAAGACGTAAACAAATATGGCGACTTGATAATTTTATTGATGGGACATAATATTATAAATTTGATTCATTGAACTATCACATTCATGCCATTCAGTGACTGACTTTCCATAAAATTTGGTTTAAATGAATATAATTATTCTCAGAGTAGTATAATATACAATGAAATGCATGTTATAATATTGAAAAACCCGTATATTATCATCAAAACTGAACAAGTTTACATAATTAAATACTACATATTAATTTAAAGCGAGACTTAACGGAAAATAAATATTAAGCTACCTTCTGGTGTATGTTAAATTTATTGCATTTTATTTCGTTTTTTGATCTCAGTTTCACAGTAAACAGTGAATTTATAGTTTAAATTTGCCTTAAATTATGCGACACAATAACTTGAACAAAATTATAGAAAATATTACAGTGCAGTACATTTTTCGTAGGGACAATTTCTACTGTGCATGACATAAATGTTGAAATTAATTCTAACAAATTATTTCTTTCAAACTTTTTTTTATTTATACGTATTTCATTGAAGATGGAAATTAGTTTATTAATTTTATTTCGTATTCTTTTTTTTACACTAAAGACATTTTGATATATATTTACTACATAATAACATTTTTTTTATCAATTTTTTCAATATGCCCGACCGAGTTGCACTTTCAATCACTCGCTTATATGTTCTCATCTCTATAGGCAAACCATTTAACTCGCGGGACGCCTGCGGGGCTAGAGGTAGGTGGGCGCGGAGGAACTGACAGACGTTTCGGAGGTGAAGGCGCGCGTGCGCGGCAGGGAGCACAAGTGACGTTTCTCAGTACCAAAGATTACAATATTATACTGGTACTCAGTACGCTAGCGGCTCTCGCGGCGTGCAGTCGGCTTTTTGGCTACGGACGCTCGGCATATGATCTATACGAGGTTTTTATTCCTCAATTTTCCTTTCCTGACCAAATAATCATCAATTTACAAGATGACTCGGATTCGTCCAACTGGACAGAAGAAGAAACAGAAGATGATTCAAGTGACATGGACATCAGTGAAGAAGAAAACCTGTAAAATAAATATATACTTAATTCTGATTGATATAAATTCTTATTATAAGTGTAAAATATTGTTTATTTTTTTATTATGTCATCCCGTCCCATCCGTCAACCCGTGAACAAACACCAGAGATTGTTTTTTTTTACCTGATATTGGGAAGGCAATGAAACTGAGCCATACATCCTAATCTACTTACCATCTTACTAATATAAGACTACGCTAATGTCTTCGTCAAATATAATAATACTCTTTGGTCTTCGTATTCGTAAAGGGAAGCCGGTGATAATCGAACAACTTGATTTTTTTTTTAAAGATGAATATGCAGTACATCTCACTTTACTGTAATAGGTAATAAGAGTTAAAAAAATATAAGGGTTATTATCAATTTATTTATCAATTTTTCTTTTCTTACATTTTGCATCGATATTTTGATCACAAACGGTGTTTTGTTAATGACATAAAGTTTAAACTTGACGCTTGTTTTCCTCGGTTTTTTGTTTTTGGTATTACTACAGTTTAGGCTCGGGAGGGTAAAAATAAATAAAACACTAAATTGATGATTTTAACCAGTTAAATATCAACCTCTGTGACCGTGACCTGATGATTCTGTAAAGCTTGATGTCTCATAAAATATTTGGACGCCTTCAAAAGCAGAGAGATGCGTTAGACAATCCTCGTCGATTGTTTCGCTAATGTGTGTAACCGCCTCATAGACATAAAAGAAGAGGACCGGCCATACCTACGAAAAAAGCGTATATGCCTAAACTTCAAATGCAAATTCTTCGATGGCGGATTGTCATAGAGCGTGACCCAAGATATCGATATTTGTATCGACATTGAAGTCATATTAAATAAAAGTTAGTATTTCGTGAAACTGCTACAATACTACTACTTATTAAATAATATAATATAATTTTCATTGTTAGGGGCATGGCTAAACTATTACCTATTACACTTCTATTTATTTCACACTTACGTACCAATCCTATTTATGATTATTATTAATTAAATTGAAAAATTCACGCCAGTATCAAGAAAATAATATTCTTTTAAAAGTGGCGTGAATTTATCAATTATTTATAAATCATTAAGCAATCTTTTGCTCGTATTTTGTTGGACATCTAAAATTTCTTGCGTTCTTTGTTCTTGCGACTCCGTTGCGTCACTATAGTAAATATAACATATGTTACCAGCGTATGATGGCGCTTCCCACTGGTAAAAGATTATTCGTATTCCAAATTTCATCAAAATCCGTTCAGTAGTTTTTACATGAGAGTAACCAACATCCATCCTCACACACTTTCACATTTATATTATTTAATAATATAATTTTATAATATTCTAATATTATAATATTAATTATTTTAGAAATATTAATATTATAATATTTCTAAAATAATTAATATATTTTTAAATATTAAAATTATCGATATAAACCATATGTTAAAGTCGACACTAGCCATGTAAACAATATTATTTACGGACCGAAATATTATAAAAATATAAACGAAAAGAGCAATATAGCATAAATAGAACACGCCAAAATACGATATGTATCGATTTATACACGCAATCATTTTCAGAATAACTTACTTACGTTTTAAATACTGTTATTCCAAGAAAGTGTTTAACTTACCGGTGAAACGTAATATTGCTCTGTTTGCGGGATATTGATGACGCACAACCAATTATACAGCACCTAGGCATTGTTTTGCATAAATAATTTACAATTTTCTGCCATGAAAGTTATATAAATTAAAGTTATAAATGAAAATAACCACAAAACTTATAACACTGACAGCTGAACTACTTCCGAGAATACGCAAAGCAAATTTGCAAATGGCTGACAGGTGGTACGATAGCTATATCTCATGACGTCACGTAAAAAATTTTGAACTGTCACACTAATGTTATCTTTGTTTACTAAAGAAACTTCTTATTAGTTAAAAAAAGACAACATGATGTTTTTGATGTCAACTTCAGATTGCATGATATTTATATAACCATAGAAAATATTTCCACTCTACCTTACTCTATGAACCGCCTTAAGGTATTCTCATTTTCTTCATCTGGCAACACTGCTTGCTGGTATAGCAACATTTTTTTATCATGGCCGCATGTTGAACTACACTATTTTCTTTACTGTTCGCCAAAAGAAGGGGATTTTAACGTGATATGTGATAATTTTAACGTCAATTGCATTGCAAGACTACTTATCTTCGTGACGCAAATTATCTGTAAGGTTCTATTCGACTAATTTATATTATTACTATTGTTTGAGTATATTAGAATGTCGATGTTTTTTTGTCGGCTGGACACGATGTTTATAGTAAAGTATTTACTGTCGGTCTCTTCAGTGGATTGAAGATGATGCATCACCCGAACATGCATCATCAAGCGATGTCGGGGCACCCACCGCAGCACATGGCAGGTCATCAGGGAATGCCAGGCCATCATCAGATGCCGCCTCATCAGCTGCACAGGGAAAACAGGCACGTTACCCTTACTAGGTAGCGTAGCGTTCAGCACCAATTATTTGTTTGCTAGCCTAGCCGTGAAGTATGTTTCGTACTTACATTTTTAGATTTTGATTCTTTTATTCACTTGAACACATTTACCATTTATTTTATCAACAATTTTGACATTAAATAATTTACGAGTCATACTAAAACGCCTGTAAAAATGCATAGGTAAAGTGCATAGTGTAAAAATTTAATTAGAACATAAAGTTTTAACAAATGCATTGATGCATCCAACTAGTTACTACATTATCATAAAGATTCCGTTTTGAATATATTTTTCAAAACTGGTTCATAAAGACGTGGAATAATCAGTGTGGCGACTGATATGTAGTGACTTGTAATTCAGCGCACTAACATCTTCTCACTGATGTTCTGCTGGGGTCACCACTGTAGGAACCATAATGGAGAAGGTGTAGTCCCTACTGTGATGATGGAGATAACTGGCCAGGGAGACTAAAGAATAATTGTCTCCCTCCAAGCTAGGTGTAGTTAGCCCCGGGACCGCGGTCCGATGTCACTGCGATGAATTAGATGTCACTACGTATCAGTCACCACAATAGCAATAAAAAAAATTGATTTTTCCATAAGTTTATAAAGGCTGGTACAAAATTAACACTACTTATTGTATCTATGAGCTTCATAATCAACTATATAAGTGTACTAATATGTAGAATGGCTTCAGTTTTTTAAGACTGAGACTGATACTAATAAAGTAAATCTGCTTTGTGTTAGCATTGAGGGTTGCATATTGATATGCAAATATTGTGTAATTTGTTGAAGAGTGAGGGTTCTTTTGTGGCACTTTTGTCATGTAAAATGGTCCCTTGAATGGACACAAAGAAACATATGACCGACGTCTCTATTGAGGCGATGATAGCATTATGTGGCTTTCTTTCTTTTTTTACTCAGACTAATATATTATCGTAACATTTGGATGAAGGAACATTTGTATATCATGGTGTTAGTTATGCATGCCCTTTAGTTAGTTTTTCTTTAGGAAATCCCACATGCTTTCCAAAAGTACTTTGATCTTAAGCTATTAATTGTCGATTCAGATCTTTTTTCTCATTTTTTATTTAATCTACAAAAGAGGTACAGCTCAAATATTGTGTTTCGGGTGCATTAAAATATTTCAACAGTGGCCATCCTGAAAGTCGATTGCTTAGTTAATATTTAGGTATATACTACATCATAAAGGTCAATATAAGGATATATACTGTGTATACATATGTACGTGAGACGTGTAGTGTACCCAAGTGTGCGCTAGGGTGCCGCTGGGTCCGTCGGGCGGCGGTCACGGCCACGGGCACGGGCACGCGCACGGCCACAGCCACGGCCAGGCGCTGGGCGCGCTGGGCGGCGTGGCGGTGCACCCCGCCCCCGCGCCCGCGCCCCCCCGCCCCCCGCCGCACGCCGCCCGCGCCATGCACCATCCGCCGCAGCATCACGCCGCCGCTATACCACCGGTGACTATTACGAAATCGATTCGCTTCACACTCGTTTTGACCTTTTCGTCACTCTTACATATTATTATATGATATAGTTTTCTCATTGTCGATCACGACTCGTTTTAAAGCTATTTCCTTGCATGGGCCAATTTTATTTAAAGTTTTATATTCAGTGCAAACGTCCTACCTTCCAAACTCGAGCGTTTCTATCGAGTCGCGCGAGCCTCGAGTCGTCGGTTGCGCGGCCTAAACAAAAGTTATGACATTGATTCAAAATGTAATTGATGTCCCACATGTGAAGCGTTCGCTCCGTTATCGTAAGTTAAAATCGATTATATTTCCAGCAACAGATGAAGCCGATGCGTCGACCGTACGGGATGGGCGGCGCGTACGGGCCTGGGGCCGGCGTGCTGCCCCCGCCCTACCCCCCGCAGCCCCGCCACCAGCCGCCTCCTCATCACCCGCACGCAGGTTTATAGTAAAACTGACGCGTTTCACTAAAGCTTTTGTGCACTTTGGAAATAAATAAATAAAGGGCCAACGGATCAATCGGGGCGCTATTGACCGATCGAAAAGTACGATCACCATTCCCGGTTAACTCTTCGACTCGATGATTAGGAACTATTTGTACATTAGTGCAGGCGCCAAAGGACATTGAATATGTAAAACGTGAGGACTGGCAACTATGTTCATTCTTTCTTTTTATTTTTTATTCTTTAACTTGAGACCCACACAAAAAAAAAACATGTTGCCGGCAGCTGTGATGGTCCCTTTCCCTTTCCCCCGCCCTTACAATGACAACGAGAACCGCGCGTTTCGAAATATCTTCACGGGTCAACTTGCTAATGAATCGTCTTCGCAATGTTTGTTAAATATTGTAGAAAATAGAGAGGCTATGTTAAGTACGTATGAAAATGAGCGATTTGTTCAGAAAAATAAAAAGTTATCCTATTAAACGATCCTATTAAAAAAAGTAAATTTGACAACTTTGTAACTGCTTCTAAGAAAGGAAGTTAAAATACTTCAACTAAAAAGTTGCAAGATGCCACAGATATAAGTATCTTTCAAAAAACATTTATTTGTTTGTTGGCTAATCAACGAGGATTTGATATAAAAATTTTGGAGTACTGCAAGTACCTTTTTGACTAACTATAAGTATCTTTAATCATAAGAAATAATTGAATATAATCACTAAAACAATTATTGAAATGGTTTCGAAGTACTTGTTCAGTACATTTACTTGATATTTAAGGGTGTGGGGTAAAAAAAATGGACCACCAAATCTTCTGGCAACATCCAGAATCATAATCCGCAAGCTTTTCTGAGTTCAAAACTATTTATAGAATGCGGTCCTCACATTTTGCACACTCAACTCCATACAGCGGGCGGTCTACATCTCTCCATGAATGTTTTTTGATGTGATAGTGTTTTGCCGTACTCTGTTGTGTTCTCATGACTCGCTATAGTAACTTATGAAGCGGTTATCACGGCAGGGGCCAAGATGAACGGTGACGTGTATACGATGGTGTCCGGTCCGCCTCACGTGCCGCCCGCGGCGGCCAGCGAGGCGGCGGCGGCCGGGGCGGCGGAGGCGCGCGGGGAGGGGGGCGCGGGGGCGAGCGAGGGCGGCGCGGGGGCGGGGGGCGACAGCGAGGCGGCTCGCCCGGCGCCCCCCGCCGCGGCCAACAGTAAAGAGAAGACTCCTATGTGCCTGGTCAATGAGCTGGCCAGGTACAATAAGGTATGTGCACCGCCGCCTGTTACATACCAAACATTACGTGTCGGCGAAAAGTTAGCAGCACATTTTTCATTAATGATAATTGCGGTTATTGTGAATTGGGAGTAGAGTTTCTGCGGCAGGACCTAGCATGTACTCTGCTCGATAAGATTTCTGCTTGATCTAACTCTAAAATACGATGTTTTCTTCCAGATTAAGCATCAATACCGCCTCACGTCAGAGACGGGACCCGCGCACAAGAAAGTGTTCACGGTAACACTCCGATTGGGTGATACTGAAGAATACACTGCGGAGGTGAGTGTGACAGATTATCATATCATATACGTACATGATTATTCTATTCACACATTCATAAATGAAACACATCAATTAATAATAAATTATGGTGCAGAAACACCAAGCTCTCTTTAGCAAGACTCTGTTGCGTATTTTTTTTATATAGGTTTTAGGGGTGTAAGGTTACAATCCCTACTATTATTGAGGAGATCGGCAGTAAAAGACGACTATAACAAATAAACGTCTAAACTTCGCAAGAATACAGAGATGAATATTAATAAAGAGCGGCGAGACGACGAGAAACAGGTGGAGCGTGTAGCGATATCGATGCACTGAGCCACCGGCCGGCCGGCTGGTCGCGCCCCGCTTGGATGAGGCGTGGTGATGTGCGCATGTAATGGGGATGCGCCACAGATTCCTTGATTTCCGAAATAATCGTTTGTTAGACTACTAGGAGTTAGAGAAACACGCTGGCTAAATAAAAACAAATCATTCGGCCGAATATCCAGTTTGGTTAAGCTTAAACTGAATACTATTCCATATTGGTGAAACCACTATTTGGCGCATCTCTTACGTAATCGAATGTGTTTTTTTATTAATATCGAATAAAGCAAACGTCTTTCTGTGTGTTTAGGGTTCGTCGATAAAACGTGCGCAGCACGCGGCGGCTAGCACTGCCCTGGGGGCCACCAGCTTCCCGCCGCCGCCCCCGCGCGCCCCCCAGCCGCACGCCCCCGCGCACGCCCACCACCGGCACTCAGGTGACACCGCCACGGCACCATGCCACCACACTACCGCACTACCGCGACCCGACCAGCGGAAAAAGAATTATTCGGGTTCAAATGTCACAAAAATAGGTCGTAACGTCGTTCAGGAGCCTATCTATCGGACCTGTCGTGATTCTGTTCAATCGAAGTCTGTCGAAAAATTACGGATATTATCGGGGCTCGAAAATTATAAATTAATAAATTATACGGGGAAAGATCCTCTACGGGAGGAAGGCGGGCTCCGGAACTCTCCCGAGTTTCGCCGTCGACCGAGACGACGTCCCCGGACGAGGTTCCGGTCCAGTAGATTTCGGGCGGACCGGTGAAGCGATCAAGCGTGAGGTACAGGATCCGTGACCCGGCAGGTGCAGTGATGCCGACGGTGGAGCTGAACGCGCTCGCGATGAAGCTGTGCCAGCCGGCCGTGTACACGTCCATCCCGCCGGTGGCGGCGCGCGGGGGCCGCGCGCGCCCGCCGCCCTACCGGTTCCCGCTGGGGCTGGGCGGGGGCGGGGGCGGGGGCGGCGCGGGGCTCGTGTACCGCGTGCGCGTGGCCGTGGGGGGCCGCGCCTGGCTGGGCGAGGGGGGCACGCCGCAGGCCGCGCGCCACGACGCCGCCGCCCGCGCGCTGCACGACCTGCGCCCGCCCCCGCCCCACGCCGCCCACGCCGCCCACCATGCCCACGCCGCCCACGCCGCGCCGCCCCCCGACCTGCCGCCGGACGCCGACAACGGTGAGTCCCTATTGTATATACAGCCGTTTGAAAGTTTTATAAGATATGTTCTAAAAGTGCGACTCGCTGTGTTATCTCCTCTCGCGATGAGCCTTTCGTAAAAATACAATATTTTTCCTGGCTGCGATGCGATTCAGACCTCGAAACGTTCTTCTGTCCGGAAGGAACGTCCGTCTGTTCCTGTGACGTTTTGTAGGGTGATTTCCCTACATTAATACCATACGCTACAGGGTGCTTAAGGACGCTGAACTATGATAGTGCTATGCTAGGAAACTGCTATGATAATGATACGACCGCGTTGATAGAATGCGTTTATTGCACTGATTGACTTAATAGCTAATTACAGAAATTTATGTCACGTGATTATTATAATATTTATGTACGATGTCTCGTACATCTTGGCCTCTCAGAAAGAGAAATTGCTGTTGTACAGTCATACATATAGTGAAAAATTAATAAATGATTCATAAGATAATGACAACTTAAACAAAGATAAATTGTTTAAGCAAAAAAAATTAAAACATACTACATAAAATATGTTTGATATAGATTAAACACTTAAGTAATACTGTACTTTTTTATAATATAGGTCATTTAATTATGCAAATTTAAGAAAAAGTTTAGATTATGAATATAACAAAAAATTCGTTTAAACTTTAATTCTAAAAATAAAAGGCATGCATGATACAACAAAAACTTAGTTTAAACTTAAATTCTAAACGTTTTGTCCGATGCTTGATTTTATAATGCACTACACTTCACTGTTTGCTATGGGTACCTCAAACTTTATCGGTCGAATTACAATAGGGGAGGTCCCTTGCTCTGCAACTTTAACAGTACACTTTTGAGATTCACTTTCACTACACCCACTGATCACCACACTAACACTACCGCCGTGCTCGGTATCCGATGGCCGGTCTAAGGTCGGACCCTCGGACGCTGCTGCTTCTTTTGGGCGTCTGCTCTTTCAGACGTCTCCTTCGCCGCCACACAACGACAAGTGTGACTAATCCAATAATAAATCCCGCTAATATAACATAGAGCAGGGTGTAATGGTGAACATCATGAATGGAAAGGTTCTTTGATTCTTCTCTTTTTAATTTCTCGATTTGAATCTTTACTTGCTTATATATGTCATCATTATTTTCTGGAGTCCAGGTTTCATAGTTTTGTGATTGCGATGCATTAGACTTAATGATAGAATTTAAATAGAAATATATGGATATTCGATTATTGTATCTTGTTTGCTTAAGTGATTCCAGAAATTATTGTGAGAGTATATCATATAAGAATCACTTTTTAGTGCGCAACCTTGACCTATACTGATAAGTCCATTGCCCTTTATTGTTTTTATTTCCATGCCTGTCGTACAGAAAATGTTTACTCTGCATTCATTGCAACAGGAGTACAGCCAGACATTACGACGCTGTAACTTGATCCATCTATTGCCGCACGCTATTGTTTTGGACGTACAAGTTGATGTTTGTCCTTGACCGTTATCTACTATTGAGACTTCGCATATTGATTCTTTTATATTTAATTGGTAGATAGGTTTATCGAGAGAGCATAATAGTTTTTCTTGTGAATAATGCATACAGAGCTGCAATCTGATTCTGATAAAAATATTCCTACATCTTTTCTTAGGTTGTAAGCGATATATTGAAAAACTGGTATGACTTGATATATGGCGTTTTGTGATTTTTGTGGCAAACTAATAATTTTATCCAATTGATATGACTCACTGCTCAAAATTGGTATTTTGATTTCTATGATAAGGAAATTGTCGATAATTTTTGCGTGCACCTTTAATAATGTATATAGAGCTTCTATATCTGCCTTGTCTACAGGTAAAGTAAGATCACTCTGTAACTGTCCCATAATGATATTAGTTTGTTGCTCGAGTTGTTGTGGTGATAGCAAGTGGATGTCGATGCGACCATGAGTAATGTACGTGATGGTATTTATTAATGTTTGCTGAATTCGTTGAAGATTTGACACGATTATAGATGCTGCTAATGCTGACGATGTTATGTAGGATGCTTGTTTAATATCAAGTTGCACTTGGTTTACCTCAAACGACAAATTGTGTAGATGATTTTTAATAAACGAAAATCGTTGATTCATTATCGCCTCATTGCGACGTAAGATATTATATTCCGATTCAATTATGAGTGTTTGATTTTTGATTAAATTTTTTAGATGATCTTCATTATTTGCAATCATCTCAATGTCAGATTTGTATTGATCTGCGAATTTATCGTCTAGGAGGCCAAACAGAGCATTTGCAACGTATCGAACGCCGTTTATTAAAACTCGTTTTCTTATATTATGTTTATGATTCATAAGTAGCTTATTATAATGCTCTATTTCTGATAACTCTGATAGCTCTGTTTTGACGGTTACAACTCTTACATAACCGTCCTTCCCAGGATGCAGTTCCTGAATACGACCCATAGCCCACTTGCCCGGTGGTAAATTTTCTTCTTTTATCAGGACGATGTCGTTCACTTCCAGGTTGCGAATAGGAAATCTCCATTTAGATCTTGATTGTAGATGTTGTAAATAGTCCATTGACCACTTTCTCCAAAATTGCTTATTCATTGACTGAACTAATTGCCAACGAATTGATAAATTTGTTATGTCGGGATCAGTTTGAGGTCGTGATATCAATGAACTACCAACCAAGAAGTGTCCAGGTGTTAAAATGTCATCGTCAGGGCTTTCTGTGAGGGGACAGAGGATTCTCGAATTTAGACATGCTTCGATTTGATATAGGAGCGTGATAAATTCTTCGTGTGTTAATTTTTGGTCGCCTAAGATACGTTTCAAGTGATGTTTTAGACTTTTAACCGCCGCTTCCCATAGACCTCCTGCATTAGGCCAAGCCGGCGCGTTAAAATGCCACGTGACGCCCAACGCGCTGACGTCACTGATAAAATTAGAGTCTAAAGTTTTTAAAATATTTTGATATTCCTTTTTCAACTCTCGGTCAGCGCCAACGAAGTAAGTCCCGTTGTCACTGTACATATTTTTCGGAGTACCTCTTCTAGCACACATCCGCCTATAAGCCGCGAGAAATGCTGCTGTGCTGAGGTCTGATACCAGTTCTAGGTGTACTGCTTTAGTGGATAAGCAGATAAACACCGCTACATAGCCTTTAGTGGTTTTAACGCCTCGACCTTTATTTGATTTTATATCGATGTAACCTGTGAAGTCCACTCCGATGTTAGTGAATGGGCGGGCGGGCGTAACACGAGATTCTGGTAACACACCCATTATCTGTTGCTGATTTGATATATTGAACCGACGGCACTTGACACATTGCCTTAATTGCTTTTTTACAGTACGAATGCCACTAATAATCCAATATTTATCGCGGATGTGTGATAAGGTAAGTCGAGGACCTCCATGTAAAGTGATCAAATGTGATTGGTGTATGATTAATTCTGTTAGGCGACTTGATGATGATAATATGATAGGATGTTTTGCTGTGTAACTCAATTTTGATTGTTGTAGCCGCCCACCTACCCGTAATATACCCTCATTGTCTATAAATGGGTTAAGACAAGCAATCTTGCTTTTTGTGCTGATACGTCCTTTTGATTGTAAAGAAATAATTTCATCTTCAAAATCAAGTGATTGTACACATTTAATAACTAAATTGTATGCATTGTCTATTTCCTTGACGGTTAAAGTGCATTTTTGTGATGTATGTGGGTCGCGTAACCATGTGATGTAACGCGATAGCCATCCTATTGTTTTTATTACTTTAATAATGCAACTATTGTCTTTTAATAATTTAATTATAAATTCATTATGTTGTTTTGAATATAAAGTAACATTCACACTGACTTTCTTTACTTCTAAGTTTGGACATTGATAATTAATTTGTTTTGCTCGTTACTATGTATATTGTGCATGCGTAGGCCTTTTCCGATGCATCACAAAAGCCATGTAAATAGAAGGGCCGCTCGGTGTTTCCGAGATGTCTTGGAATTTTCAATTGCTGTATGCTCTTTAGATCATCTTTTAATTTTGTCCATTCCTTCAAGAGATCTGATGGAAGTTGGTCATCCCATGCTAAATCATATGACCAGATATTTTGAAAAAGTAATTGTTTAATCTTTTTTGTTATGAAGTAAAATGTCAAATAAATTAGTTGTATCAGCGGACATTGGAAGTTTCATTTCTTAATAGTGTGATGTGTGTACATTTTGGTCCTTCGAGCCGGATAAAGATCAGTGACGATAAAACAAACATTGGGATTGCGAAATTTGTGAAAATTAAATAAATTTCAAGAAAACAAGTAAATTTACAAAAATATACAATAGTGGAAATATGAAAATTTTGTTGACATTTTACAAAAGAGTATAACGGAAGAAAACTTGCATAGACGATGATCTAGTACAATTATTACGCGGTATTATTTAAATTCACAATTGAACAAAAAGTTTTCAAGTTTGATTGTCAAAGTAAATAAGCGAAACAAAATGACTGTGCAAGAACTTATTAATACGCAAAATGAAATATCCATGCAAATCACAAGAGCATTATCAAATTACAAAAAGTCAAAAGCAAGAATAACTAAAGCTTATATTGAAGCAAGATTAGAATTATTAGAAACAAACTTTCAAAATTTTAAAGGTAACCATCTTAATATTGTAACAACAGCAACGCTTGATGAAAAGAAAAGCTTAACATATTTTCAAGATGATTCTTATTATTTATGTGAAAATGTTTATCTAGAATTAAAAACTTTGATGAAAGAACAGTTAGAGGAATTGTCTGCCAATTCATTAATATCTGTACAAAAGGGAGAAGTATCTGTCACAACACCTCAAAGTAAAGTATTAAGGGCTAAGTTACCACCTATTGAAATTCCTTTTTTTACGGGAAATTATAATGATTGGACAGGTTTCTATGATTTATTCAAGTCTTTGATTCATAACAACGAGGATTTAAGCAATATAGAAAAGTATCATTATTTGAAAAGTAATTTGAAAGGCGAAGCAGAGTTATTATTAAAGCAATTTCCATTAACCGAA